CTGGAATATTTGCAAGTTGTGCAATTTAGCTTGAATACTTCATGATAATGGTGAATTTTAATGGTAAATAATCTGGTAAAAGCTGCTCTTTTTAGGGCATTTTGTCACACGTTTGTTGTTTTGTTTTGCTTGTACATTTTGGTACTTTTTTAGCAAGAGGCTTTATGAAATTAATGTATTTTGTACCCACATTTTAACTAAATATTAAATAAATATTAGTAACATTAATAGTTTTTTTAATTTAATAGTAACTTAGCATATATTTTAACCTTCCTACCTGTTGCTTTATTGAGTTTTATTTATGTGTCATGAACAATTGCACTGAACCAATTTTTCTACGTTCTCAGTTTGCCAGAATTATTAAATAAGTTTTCTTTGTTAATGAATAAGCTTTTGTTTGAGAGGATTTTAGTATTCTTTTGAAAGGAGGTGACGTGAGCTTGAAAATAAATTGGTTGTTGAACTTGGATTTTGGCATATGTGGAAAGAGGCACTTTTTAGGGACTTAATCCTGCCGACCAGCTCGTATATGTGTGTGTGTGCGTATGTGTGTGTGTGTGTGTGCGTATGTGTGTGTGTGTGTGTGCGTGTGCGTATGTGTGTGTGTGTGTGTGTGTGTGTGTGTGTGTGTGTGTGTGTGTGGTGGTGTGTTTCACACAGCCGATCAGAGCTGCTCGGATGCAGAGTAAAGGTCCCCAGATGTTGTGTGTATTAAACCATAAACCCTGTCAAGAAACATACTTACAGTATATGCTGTTAAGTTTGTTATTACAGTTATTTTCTTCTTTAAAGATAAAAGCTGTCTGTTTTTAAATAGAGGAGAGACGTTGCCAATCACTTTTTTTGAAGTGAATATTAAATTAAGACATCATGATTTCAAAATGTAACCAGAAATGTTGAATCAGTAACCTGAAACACTCCCCTTAAACATGCTCACGTTATCTTATTTATTAAGTTTATGAGGTTTTTTTTATCCAAGTAAATGAAGTGAATAATTCAGCCATTTTTCCAGTCGAGCTGTACGTGTGCAGGCCAGACGAGTTAAACACCGCTGTGCAGCTCAGAGTAGCCTAATCCCGTGTAGAGCTGAAGATGTATACTAGCTCATAATCTGGGTAATCCTTTGTCCTAATACTGCCACTTTAACAAGATGAATGCATTATGGGAGTGTTATCAGCTTTGTTGGGCCAGCACGCCGCTGTTGATGCTGCAGCCTCCTGTGTGCTTCCAGCATGGGAAGATCTCAGTTTGATTGCTGATTGTAGGGGAATTCTTGCCATAGAAATATATAATAATAATAATAATGATAATAATAAAAACTTATATTAACTTATCGTTGCTGTTGTTGCACTTGTTACATACTTTTAATTTTAGATTTTTAGTGTGCAAAGGAGATACACAGTTTAAACATGTTGCTGTTTGTGGCAGTACTGGGAATATTTTCAGAGCAGTCAATTCTTGGAAGAAGCTTTAGATTTTATATCAATAAATAGGAAGATAAAAATATTTTAGAAGTACATTTTGTAAGCTTTATTTTTGGAAACTGTTTAGTTTAACATCTTTTTTCTTCAAGTCTAAATGGCTGTATTTGTGTTAAGTTTTGATAAAATGTAAGTGTCCAGGGTTGTTCTGTCTGTATATAGCAATAATTTAAAAATATATTAAATAGAAACATTTTAAGTATATAAATATTCCCCCTCTATTTTTGTTCGTCCTACATTTAACCCCCAACTATTTCTGTACCTGCAAGAGAGCAAAAAAGATACCAAAGCTAAAAACGTACTTTATCTTTTATTGTAAATACTGAGTTATTTTCAGTCACCAGACAAGAGTCCTGTGTGTATTTCCAGAATTTAAGTCAGCTCGTCTGCCACCCCAGAATAACCCTGACAAGTTATACATAACACCGCAGACCTCTCTGTTACTGGGGCAGCCACTATTATTTAGTTCAACTTACTAGGCACGGTTATTATTGGCACTTCTCCTATTAATAGGGAGAACTGCTAAAAATTGAGCAGTGTGTTTGTCCTGGGCGTGTCGACGCCTCAGACCAGAGCTGTAGATAAACAAGAGTTTGGGCTCGGCAGATGTCGGCGGCAGCCATGTTAACTCTGTCATCATTAGGGGTTTTAGAGTCTGTCACATCCAGGTTATTTATGTGTTTGGAGGGCTCAGCATTGGGGATGTTATGAGAGGATGAAGTTAGACGCTTGCAGGGTCTGAGCTGTGGATACGGGGCAGTAACAGGCAGCTTGGCTGAACAGTTATCCACCGAGGGCTCTGGGTGTGCTGGCACAGCGGCGGCTCTGTGGTGTGGGAACAGCTGAGCCACTCTGCCCCTGCAGAGAGCCGACGGTACCGGACTGGTTGGCTGCTTAATTGCCTCCGTGTGTTTTATATGAATATCTGTCAGTGTGCGTTTGTGCAGAGATATGCACACGGGCGTCTCTTTGTTCCCCAAACAGTTTTTCCTGTTCTGTTTCTCTTCCAGTCTCACACTGACTCTCTCTGCTTCCTGACTCACAGTCTCTTCCCCCTGTCTGTCCGTCTGTCCAGTACTGTTGCTTCCACAGACCCACCCCCCTGTTCCTTTCAGTGTGTTACCTGCAGCCCTCCTGTCACATTTCACCCCTGCGTGCCACATTCCTAGTTATCTCAGAGGGGGTTACATACCTTTGCCCTGAGAGGCAGCTACTAGCAAGCATCTTGCCTTTCTAGTTGTAGGAAAGGTGGGCAGATGATCAGTCAAAACAGACAGCCGTGCAGGAATCAAACACGCTGGGAAATCAGTACGTTTGTCTACATTAGAAGCCACTGTTGCAGGTAATCAACCATCACTCTGACCAACTTTTTTAGCTTGCAAACCCTTACACAGTTTACATGGGAGATTAATAAGTAGCGGTGGTAAGCGCTGCCCCGATGAATCTTGCCTTGTTATCAATTTAGTTTAGTCTTTGATCGTGTTAACAATCACCTCACTTATTACCTATCATATCATTCTGTGCAAATTTAGGGCCTGTTAGCACTTTGGCTTGGTTTATCTTTCATAAAAATGTCAAAATTTCAGGGGAGATGGTGTACCTCCACTACAACACTGCAGGAAACCTTGCCTGAAAGCTATATTTATTACAGAAAGTATGAGTCTTAAATGAACCAATCAACAAAAACAACCATTAAATAGATACTCAACAATCCACCTGGGCCACCTCCCTCCTGCCTACTGTATGTATGCTGCATACTTTATGTTCCTCTTTATCCCCAAACTGACTTGAAATGGCACCTTTAACCACGATGGAATTAAAAATGCAGCCAGGCAGAAAGTTTACATATTAGTAGCACTTGTTTCTTGTTATTGTTAATGTTTTTATTGTTGTATTTAGCAAATGTATCGTCTGAGAAATAAAATCGACTACAGTAGACAGTGAAATAGTTTTTAGGGGACTTCCTATGGCGAATGTTGGGCACATGTGTTAACATTGGACCAAACTGAATTCAGGGTCTTTCTCTCTAAATGTTTTTATGAATTTTTAGCAGGAGTCAATTAGTGACAGGATGTTTCTAAAATGCAGTGAATGGTATAAACCCTATAAAACATTTTCAAAGATTGCCTTATGAGTTTGTAAAGACTATCATGTGTTGTTGGCTGCAGACAGAAAGTTAGTTCAGTCCTTCTCAGTATGCTTACAGTCGTAGCTGTAGTTGACGTCCTGGGAAAAACCTGCAGTACTTGTGTCTGATGCATGCAGGCTGGTGGGAAACAATTACAATAGTTGCCCCTTTAGCTTTAAGATGATCACCAAATTCCTCCCAGTGAAGCAGCATTGAGTTCAGCCCACTCCTCTTTCCACTGTCGCAGCAGAGCTCCTGTTCTTCTTCCTACATAATGTTTCTTCAATACATCTGAAAGTATTGTTTTTGTCAGTATGTGTGCAAGTCCTATAATATCATCCAGTAACTCGTCTGCTTGTCCGAGGCCTCACATTTACCTCATGTTCACATGTATTATAGGACACATACTACACATGAGGAGGGAGGTTTTATCCTCTGTTTAACACAGACACTTAAACATCTTCAGCGTGGGATACAAAAGACACATTTTGTTTTGTTTCCTTGACAGATGCTCTTGTAAAAGTATCAGGAGTCTTTCTTTAAGCCTGTTTTAAGTCCTGACTTGTTGCATCAGATACCTCCAGCAGGTGACCCTGATACAGTCATCATGAAAACATCAGGGCAGCTCACACACCTTGAAAAGCAGCAGCAATGTAGGCCAGTTCATCGAAACAATTAACATGCGTTTGTGTAGTCGCTCCGTAAATCTGAAGACCGTAGGCCTGCATACCCACACACACACACACACACACACACACACACACACACAACACACACACACACACACACACACACCTCTCCTCTTGTGCAAGTACTACTACAGCAGCTCCATTGACGAGCCTTCTCTGGCCTGACAGAGCAAACGGCTGCTGGTGACTCAGACTGGCTGCCTCTGATCTCAGTATGAATTAAAACACACGCCCCCTGGTGGCCGTTCAGGGAACAATGTCCTCCATCTTTCTCCTGCTCCCACTAATGTACTGGGATGTACCGCTGTGTGTGTGTGTGTGTGTGTGTGTGTGTGTGTGTGTGTGTGTGTGTGTGTGTGTGTGTGTGTGTGTGTGTGTGTGTGTGTGTGTGTGTGTGTGTGTGTGTGTGTGTGTGTGTGTGTGTTGTGGTTCCCTACTGTTCTCATTATACATCAGCACATTATGATTAGTTAGTCAGAATGGTTGGATTTAAGAAATGGTCTGCATGATTGGATTCACAGCTGGTAAATACATTGCTAACTTGCATTTATTTTGATGATTACTGAAATTGGCCAGTGGAAAATGGAAATGTTGACATGTTTTACTGTGTTATTATGTGTATATATAATATTGTGTTATTATATTGTCATTATATTATGTTATTAAGCTCTAACCAACTGTTTGTTTCTGTCCTTTCTGCAGCTTCTTAGACAGGATTGAGGTGGTCAGGCAGAATGACTACACACCCACTGATCAGGTGAGATTACACACAAACACTTGCTATCGTCTGTTATACAAGCACTCTGCCTGCATCTGTCATCTGTAACGCTAAAACAATTAGTCAATTAATTGATAAGTTGACGGACAGAATATGAAACGTTAGAAATGTGTATAAGTGATTCATGATTTAATTAATCTATCAAGACAAAATACCAAAGAAAGAGTTTTTTAATACACACATTGCAGCACAAATAGCACAAATGTGTAAATAATAAAATTAATGATGGCTAAATTTCATTTAGTTGCTTCAGTATCAGGGTCCTGGTGTTTTACATGCTGGCTCACAGTCACACTGTCATGACTCTTACATCCATCTGTCCAACATATCACATTGCACTCTCTTCTATTTCTTCTGTGTCTGTATCCCTTTCCATTTCTACATATTTTCTTTAACTTTCTAACATCCTCCTGTTCCTTTTGTATTTTTCAGGACCTGTTGAGATGCAGAGTACTGACATCCGGGATCTTCGAGACAAGATTTCAAATAGACAAAGTCAATTTCCAGTGAGTTACCACAAAAAAAGCTGAATTTTCCCCTCACATTTCCACAATACAGAACATTAATCCTCAGACTTTAAAGAAGAACCACGTTCTCTGCTAGCAAAACATTCAAAGAGTAAATAAGAAACTTGAATTCCCTGGTTTACAAATGTCATCTGTTTTTTATTGATACTGTTTTGATCCACAATCCTTTTAACTGGTTCAGTATTTAAAGTCTTTACTCTGCTTTCCCAATGTAAATTAAACTTTTAACTTCCTCTGTCTCACAGTATGTTCGATGTTGGAGGTCAGAGGGATGAACGTCGAAAATGGATCCAGTGTTTTAACGGTATGTAGTTTGTAGCTTGGACGGCTTTATTGTAGTGATGAATATCTGGATAATTTATGAATGTAAGCAAGTGTGCACGAGTGTTTGGTAGTTTTTAATCAATCTTTGGTGTGTTAATCCTTGTCTCTGGTGTTTTTGTGTGTGTGATACAGATGTGACAGCTATCATCTTTGTAGTGGCGAGTAGCAGCTACAACATGGTGATCAGAGAAGACAATCAGACCAACAGACTACAGGAAGCCCTCAACCTTTTCAAGAACATTTGGAACAACAGGTCAGCACCCGAGTTCTTCATCAAACGTAACCGTCAGACATGAAACTAGTCACACTTTACTCAAAGTCAAAGTGGGGAGACGAAGAGTATTCAAAAAACACATTTAGCATAAAAGTACCTATAGTGTATACACTTTCATTAATACACAAACAAATGTGCATGCACTTGCGCCCTGGAACTGAATAGGATGAAACGACCCCACATTTTATTTGAATTTTTAACATCTATACAATGCCAAAGTCTACACCCATCTCCACTGTGTCCTATGACCCAGTGGCTGCAGCCATGTTCTCCCGCTATTTAAAGATAAAATGTGCAAGAAATGGAAGCTTTTTTTCTGGTTATAAAGCCTCAGATGATATTCATAAACATAAACTCTATACTTACACTCTTACACACACAGAACAACTGCAGGGATATTTGGTTATTGAATTGTCCACCATAGACAGTAAAGCAGAGAATGTATCGCTGGTGTTTTACTCTGCCGAGTGTAGATCAACAAAGACCTACTGGATGCTAGGGCTGCATGGTCATATTGCGATCATTTTTGACGGATTTTACGATTGCGATATGATTCACGATTTGTGGGGATGATCATTGATTCATCGCAGTTTTCATTTTCACTGAAAGAACTATTAAAATCATGATGATGTGACATTGTAGGTCATCTCTGCAGCACTACAATACTTCAATATAATGCTGTTTTGTCACACATTTTACCTTCATTAAAGCTTCTGTGATTCGTATATTGCACTTACATATTGGACATATTGTGATTTTGATAATACTTTGATTAATTGTGCAGCCCTCCTGAAAGCTAATAAAATCACTTGACATCACCTCTGCCACTTCTTACTCGCTGTGTCAGCACTCACAAACTACTGATTAAACATTACGTAAAAAAGCAACCTTCAATGTTCTCCACTTTATGTGACTTTGTGCCGAGCAGACCTTAGTTTGTGTTTGTGTCAGTAATCTGGGAGGTGAGGGACACATAAAAGAGGAATCCTAGACAATGACGACAATTGAGATCTTTTCCTTCACAGACATGTATGCAGGTAAAGATTAAACTTTGAATCAATACATCTAATGATAAGACCATATCTAAGATGCTGCAAAAAACATGTTGGAAAGTCTGTACAAGTTCAATCTGTGGCAACAACAACAGATGAAATGTAGAAACTGTTTGTTGTTGTTCGTCAGTAAAAGACTGAATTTAAGGGACGCCTTAAACAAGAACTGTGTACAAACAGGGTTGAGAATTGAAAGAATAAAACGTCCCTGCTCAGGGTTCATATACAGTAGGAGGAGACGTTAATTGGATACAGAGCCGCTCCTTGACTCTTCTCTCCCTGTGGGAGCATATGGACTGTTTATGGCAGGAGCTCTAAGACCTTTTCAGCCCAGAACTCCAGAGAATAAATTATTCCCTTGTTCTTCAGCCAAAGCCTATTAAAACATAATGCCACTTTAAAAGTACAGACTTGTAACGTATTCTGGGTCCTAAATGAAAGTCCAAAGAAATCTGGCACTGAACTCGTTCTTCATTTCCCTCCACAGGTGGCTACGGACCATTTCGGTAATCCTCTTCCTGAACAAGCAGGACCTGCTCGCTGAGAAGGTTTTGGCAGGGAAATCTAAAATTGAGGAGTACTTCCCGGAGTTTGCACGCTACACTACACCTGATGATGGTAAGAGGTTCACACTGAGATCTGTGGGTGTCCAATACATACTGTAACAAACATATCTGTTTTTTTCTGCGGTAAGAAGACGTATACAGTCATCTTAAAAGATAATTCTGCTTTATGACAACGTATTACAACAGGTTTACCACCAACTTTATTACTTAGATCTCTGAATGTAGAGACAGGGCAAGAAACCCGGGCTGTCAGACAATCTTATAGGTTTTAAACAAAATCTGAAGTCAAACTTATTTGGCAGAGAAAATAAATAAAACATTTTACAGACCAACGTAATTGCTGTAGCTGTTTTCTTTTTCATTACTTACATTATGGTTGCAATCACTTTAAGTTTTCCTACAAATAAAATGTTTTAGATAATCTGCCTAAAACCTCTTCTTTGTTTACAACAAATGTCCATTATTATCTGTCTGCTTTTGTTTCTGGACCGGTTAGACTTCATCATATTTCTCAAATGTCAGTAATTACTTTGGTTATTATAATGTCATCATAACTGATCGACACGATGGTCAGAGCTATGAAAATAACATTCAGCCTGTTTATAAACCACAAATGTCCTTTAAATGGCTTTGGCCCCCTGACTTTAAGATTAGAATATGACTTAGAGTTGCTGGTCTGGATGAGTTTTAATGATGAATTGCTTTGAATAGTGTTTATTCTTCCGTGGTTACCACTACTGGACCCAAAGAATGTAGTATTATTATTTACCATATGACAAAATCAAGCAAATTCAGCAATCCTGCACAGACTACAGTGTGTGAGCAGAGTGGCTGCCCATAATTTATACATTTTGACTTGTTGTCACTAGCAGATTAATTAACTAATTATCTTCCTTGCCAGCTTTGACCAGTTGGAGCTCCTCAGGTTGATGCTGCAGATTGTTTAAATTACTTTATTGTGACTAGATTTCTTCTTCTCCAACAGCAATACCAGAGCCAGGTGAAGATCCCCGTGTCACAAGGGCAAAGTACTTCATTCGGGATGAGTTTCTGGTATGTTCAAATCTCGTGTGTTACCTGTTTGAATTTGATCATATTTATAGTTTTACCTGTTTGGTTTACCGAATATGAAGGTGTGATAAAAATAGAAACCGCAGTAAATGAAGATGTTTGGTTTGGTAAATCTGTATGAAACATATTGTCTACCAGAAATCTATTTTAGTCTTTTGATCAGTATTTGTTCCATTATACATATTTGCCACCACAGATCACAGTATCACTGATACATTTCCTGTTCTTAATAACTGATATAGATAAAGTGGTTTGTTTTAAGAAGCAGCAACAGCAGTGAACAGAAAGTAAGAGACATCACAGTTTCATCCAAACTCGCAAATGTTTTTTTCTTGAACATGCTGTGCAAAACCACACCAGTGACAGCTTAGCACCAAAGATATCACCAAAATCAAAACAAAATCTCACAGATGGCCACTAAATGTTCCACCAAACAGTGTGCACACAGGACTTGTCTTTTAAAAAGTACATTTCAGTTGAAGGTGTCCCAACAGGGGGTATATATGTGCATCCACACATACAGATATAGTTGGTTGGGGGATACTAATGGATCAACAGTTGTTAACTAGAAGTATTTAATAAATGGTGGAAAAGATAAAAGTCATGGATGCAATTTGAAACAAATATGTAACTAAAAGTAATGGATACATGGTTGAAATAGTTAGCTTAAAGTGATCAATAAATGGCGGAAATAGCTAAAAGAAACTGATACATGCCGAACTGTCCAGCTTCTGACACTGGAATACAAACATGACCATACCGACTTAAACATTAACAGATGAAGAATAAAAATCTGACAGGGCTGTGGGGACACATCAGTCAAACAAGGCTGGGAACCCCTGATTTATGACACTAACTTGTCCGTACCTTTGTGTGTCTGTTTACAGAGGATTAGCACAGCCAGCGGGGACGGACGGCATTACTGCTACCCCCACTTCACCTGCGCAGTCGACACAGAAAACATCCGCCGCGTCTTCAATGACTGTCGCGACATCATACAGAGGATGCACCTACGGCAGTACGAGCTCTTGTGATTGGCAGCGGCATCCAGTCTACTTATCTACCTACCAACCTACCAATCTACCCCCCACCACCACCACCCCCACGACCAGTTAGCCAATCACCTCCTCCACTTCCACCAATTTCACCAAACGACCGATTGAGCGACTGACCGCCTGCCCTCCCTCCCTCCCTCCCTTCCATCCCGATACAACTCCCACTTCTCCCGGTAACACGATTTCAGAAAAATGGAACAGTGGAAAGACTTTTTTTGTTTTGTTTGTTTTTTTTAAAAAGGAAACACAGTTAAGGATACACCAACCACAGTTTCATCAACTATTAGCCAGGACTGACTGCTGTACTCAGCTACACTTTGACCCAGGATAGAGGGTCAGGACTGGAATCCCTCAGTGCAGGCTATCCCTCCTTTTAGCTCTCTTTCTCTCTCTCTCTCAGATATATGAACACACACACACACACACACACTCGCAGGTACACACACACTACAACATAAGACATTGAGAAGCCTTAGATAGGTTTTAATGTCTCATATCACCGTCTCTCTAAACACACACACACACACAGACCCTTTTAAAACAAGTCCTCCTGCTTTTAAGAGTTGGCAGAGGCTGAATTGAATAATGCATTCTGAGAGAGAGTTTATTCACCGCGTGCTGAAGACAAAGGAGGAGGAGGAGGAGGAGGGAGGAGAGGAGAACGATGGACATGGAGGGTGGCAAACTGATACAGAGGAGGGCTGTGAGCCTTTTTTGTGCCCGAACAGACGCACTAATTGATTAACGGCTGCCTGTGGACGTGAGCGTGACTTGAACATAAGACCACACTGCTCACATGACCCTGCTCTTCAAGAAACGGATCGAGGAGTGACGGCAGACAAACGACAAAAAAAGAAAATGGAAGAAAAAAAAAACAAGAAAAATACCATACAATGCATAAATTCATGCATACCAGTGAACTTCATGCAGTGCAAAAAATCCAAGCTATATATATAGATATTTATATATGTGTGTATATAAATATGTATATATATAAATATAAATATTATATATTCCTGTAATAACACAATTCAACTTTTAAGTTTTTGTTAGTTTTTACCCCATGTTGTGTGTTTGGTGTACACTGTGTGTGTGATCTGCCTTTGTGCACCATTTAAACCCTCCTTCCTACACACACACACACACACACACAAACACACACATATATATATACACGCAAACACACACACACACACACACACACACACACACACACACACACACACACACACACACACACACACACACACACACACACACACACACACACACACACACACACACACACACACACACACACACACATATACATCCTCCCCCCACCCTGCCCCTGCTGCTATTTGACAACTATTCAACATATGGAAAATAAAGGAGAGGTTTTATTTAATAAGGAAAAAAACAATGCAAAAGGAAAGCATGAAGTAAAGGAAATGACTTATCAAGACTGGACGCAACATTTTTACCTGGGAATACAAACTAACACCACACACACACACACACACACACACACACACACACACACACACACACACACACACACACACACACACACACACACACATGCTCCAGCCCTCATCAGTCCCCTCTCTTTCCTCACAATGTCCTCCCCCACCCACCACCTTTCGTCTTATTCTCTCACCTCTCCCGGTCCCACTCCCTCCCCCCCCCTTTCCGGCTTTAAGTACGTCTGTCTTTATTTTACTGCTGGACTATTATTCTTGTACAGACTGTAAAATGTATTATTTTGTACAACTTTATTGAAGAAAAAAAAATAACTTGTAGAAGATCCCTGTGCCTTGATCACGACTGTACGTGTAAAAATGAGCTAATATGTAAGTTATGTTTCACTGCGCTGTACAGCTGGACGGGTCTGTCCCACCTCGTCCGAGCTAGCTCACCCCTCCGCGTGGAGGCTGGCAGGGGACGGGCATCGGATCGGGGCGGAGGCCTTTCGTCTGTTGCTTAGTTTCCATTTTTCCCCACCCCCCCCCCACATTTGTTTGTTCGTTGATTAATTTGTTTTGCTTTTGACCCTCCTCTGGTTTATATGATAGGATTTCTAAAAAACAAAGAAGAAAAAAAAAGATAATCAAGACACACCACCTTAATGCTGTGTAGTGAAAGATACTGAACCCTAACACGATTTAATATATATAAAATATATTTCAGATTTTATATTTTATATATATGTACTGTACACTTATATCTATGTCCCTTGTGAGCTGACCCCCAGGTTTCCTTTTGCTTTCTGTCCGTAACACCTGCATACATTTTCAGAAGGTGGCGATTCTGGGTGCAACGGGATGGGTATTCATTTCTTTTCTTTTTTATTTTAGCTTTAACTCTTTTGAAGGAGAGGGAAATATCCAGTTGCAAAACATTGCTTGTTTCTACATAAACCAAATTCTTTTTGCTTAAACAAGAAGAAATGGTTGTATTAGTGTTTGGTTCATTCCACTAGCTCCTCTCACTACGAGGTCCACATCACACGCTCTCAGTTGTCTTATTATTAGTTACATCTATCTAACGGGCAGCCTGATAATGACACTTCCTGCAATGAATCCTACCTTCATGAGGGTTATATGTTCTGTGAGAGGTGTTATTAGACACAAAATATAAACATGAGACTCTCCTTTCTGTAAAATAATACAATTAATAATGATAAAGTTGATTTATATTGTATGTGGATTGTAGATTACAAAGTACTTTACACGGGGAAAAAGGAGAAAACACACATACAAAGTCATACAAATACAAGTAGACTGTAAAAATGGAGCTCAATTAATACAAGTAAACATGTTATATATGAATTATGTAAATTCATAAACAAATCTGCATACATAAACACATGTAAGCAAATACCCACATTAAATAAACTAATAGAAGAAAGTGATTTAAAAGATGTTCAACAGCTCCACAAACCTCAAAAATCATTATAATCTTCATGAAAGGAGGATTTATTGCCGCCCTGTTGTATTCGACTGCATTAGTTGTAGCTACACGTACCTATAAACTGACAACTGAGTGTAAGTTAATCTGTGTTTCTGAAACCCGTCACTCTTGAGGAATATCACTGTTTCACCTTAAAAACGTGCCAATGTCATAACTCACTTACTAAATGGGATGTATTTTATTGGAGCGCACAGAAAACGGGGCAGAAATTTCCACCATTTCTGATTCTGCTGTTTCCTAAACTGACAACTTTCAGTCAAAGGTACAAATATGGTCTCCATCCTGGCCTTGCTATGCAGATGACATCAGCCTCCTCATTTCTCAAGTCTCACAGAGTTGGATTGTAATGACTTATTGTTTATAATAGTCTGGGTATTGTAGGTCTTGATACAATAAAGAAACCAGGCGAGGAGAGGGGACATAACCAAAGAGTAAAGCAGTAAGTTTCAGGTCTCTTTGGGGCCACAGAGGATACATGAGGTTGTACACCAGCTTTATATACAACAACACTGTATCCCAGAAACACATTTAATGGCTTTTCCTGGAACATGTTATTATTGTAATATTCAAATATATCATTATTTGACTTCTTTTTCAGAGCGATTTGAGTCACCCAGGTTTACTTCTCTTGGTTTTAATCCTTCCAGATCTGCAGCAGTGATAATGTGAGAGAAGAGATTACATTCACTGTTTATTTTTATGTCAAACACCTCCTCACCTGTGTTCCTCTTAATGCCACACAGGCTGCAGCAATAAGTGAGTTTAATTTTAGCTCGAAAAGAAGAAACCCCATCTGGTATGTGATGGTTTTCCCATTTTTATCGCTTTTTCTTGTACATTTTGTGCAAAAGATTTGAACTAGAGTTTTAAAATCAGCATGAAGCACTGAGTTAAAGACAATTCTGACTCACAGGCACATAGTTATCATACATTTTTGGATACAGTTGAATCTAAAGTTGGTTCTTATTGGCTGGTGTCTTTAAGATATCTAGGAGACAAAAGTCTTTACTTGCAGCCAGGTCTGTACATGCCCTGCTTATTGTTGATGGCACACTGGTCTATTTCAAAAGGGGGTAATGTGATGTAATATGTTTTTTCAAAATCCATCTAAACTATGCAACGATCTTAAGACGAGCTCCCTGAATGAAGACATTTAGCACCCGGAGAAGACTGAAGCTCGTCCTCTGGAAGATTAAAATGTAAGAAACAAGAACGTATTTGCAGCAGACAGCAGAAGATCGTCCATCCAGAGAAACCTTAAATCGTGGAAGTTCAAGAGGACAGAAACAGTTGATGACATGTTTGTCTCACGTTGGTGGAAACCTTGCTGATACCCCACCTGTTTGCTTGTTGGAGCAACAGGATTATGAGGTGAAGCTGGTAATTCCTCGGTTTCAGTAACAGGAGACCCACAGCCACTTCCAGAGTTACAGTCACACCACCATTGTTTCACCTCACATTGGTTTAACGTTACTCTAGAAGTGAGGAGTCTGTCTTAAAGCTCAGGTGAGACTCAACAGACGATGTAGGGAGGTGTCACAGTCTGCTGCAGCTAAAACAAGGTTGCAGGTAGTTAATCTGCACCGCCCACTGTGTCTAGGTGTAACTGGGTAGATATTTCAACCAAAGTGACGAAACTTACTCCCAAAGGGTAAATCAGGACCTAAATGACACAGGTTAGAAAACTGCCTCTGTGCGTCAGGTGGACAAAGGTATGTGGACACCTGAACATTTCATCTATATGTGATATGAGTTTATAACAGCCTCCACTCTTCAGGGGCGGCTTTCCACAAGATTGTGGAGCCTGGCTGTAGGAATTTGTTTGTGTGGGTCAAAAGTGGGATGAGCATTTCTCCAAACTGGTGCCACAAAGTTGGAAGACCACCTTTGTCTAAAAACCCATTATGTGTGGTAGCATTGAGATTTCCCTTAATGGGAACTAAAGGGGCATCCTCCAAACTATGAAAAACATCCCAGAAGTTTGTGAATAGGGGTGTCAAAGTACTTACTAAGTGGTGGCCACAACTGCACCATGCCTGTAAATGTGATCCATAGAGGAGTGCAGCAGCAGATTTTTAACTTGTGGTTTGATGTGGATTTCCAACTTTACCCTGCAACTTCATTTATATACTATATATTTATTCAAAGCCTGAAGACCGCACATTAATGTTTACTTACACACTTACAAACAGTGTGTCTCTTACAGTTACTGCAGGTGAAATATAATGGTATTTATATTTATATACAGGCATGGAAGCAAATAATGGCCATAAATATTTGAATTTTATAGGCAAGCGAATAACTCATTTTGAAATGTAGTCACTATACCTGTTGAGATTCAAACACCACTACATTTATGACTTTGATTTTGAAAACCATATAAATGGATTCAGATGATCTCAATTTGAATTTCAAAAACTGTATTAAACTCAATCATTTGCTTCTATAGTTGATCAGATAAACGCTTCCAGACAGCAGCAGTGTTTAATGTATTATTTTCCCCCGCTCCACAAGAGGGAGCCAGAGTTTTAAAAACAAAAACAGTACCCAAATAAATAAAAAAAAAAACAAAAAAAAACACGTGGGCCGAACCGGACGACAAAGTGCTTCCTCCCGCAAAACCCCGCCTCCACGTTTCCATGCATTGGCGCGCTTCGCCTCTGTGGCTCTCTGCTCCTCCCCGGGTGGTGGTGGTGGTGGTGGTGGACTGACTGTAGCGGGCTGCGGGTGAAAACACAAGCAGGCATGAGTGCGGCGGGTAGTGCTCGGTCCGGTCCGGCCGCCGGCCCCGTCCAGCAGGGACTGAAAGAGGCTCTGATCGAGACGCTGACGGCCATCCTGTCCCCGGTTCAAGAAGTGCGCGCCGCCGCGGAGGAGCAGATCAAAGTGCTGGAAGTGACAGAGGGTGAGTGGTAGCCCCGGTGTCCGACCGTTGGAGGGAGTGAACCCGGGTGTCCTCACTCGTTAACGGCCTCTTCGGAGCCGAGCTCGGGGCCGGGCCGCGGCGGTCTCCCGCTGTGTGTGTGTCTTTGAACCGCCGCTAACTTTCACTGTACTCGCTAAAGCGGAGAAGTAGCTCAACGTTAGCTGCCGGGGAACTGTCGGCTCCCGGTAGCTAACGTTAGGCCATATTCCCCAGAAGTTAGTGGTGATTTAAGTTTGCTTTAAAGCTCCTGGGATTAAAACATGTTCTTCACCCTCGGTTGAACGGGAGGAGGTCGGTTGCTGCCTCAAACAGACGCGATCGCACCAGCTAACTGTCTCAACTGATGCTGTTAGCTTTAGCTACTAAGTTACATTAAGCACATGGAGGGGGGGCTGTTTGTGTAAACCCGGCCCCAGACAGCACGGCAACCGGGCGGACACTGGTGTACCCTCCTGGCTCGGTACTAACGGTACTAACGGACCAGTTAACGGTCAGTTGTCCGTTGTGTGTGTGTGTGTGTGTGTTAACGTTAACTTTTAACACGGTGTCATACTTGTGAAGCTAACGTAGCCACATTCACAGCGCTCCTGCTCTCGAGCGCACTGGAATCAAATAACGTCAGTTGGAAACGGGGGTTAGTGACAGCGACAGACCAACCGTTGTCCCTCAACCGTTAGCTGCCCTGAACAAACTGTCGTGTATTTAAACCGTGTGTGTGTGTGTGTGTGTGTGTGTGTGTGTGTGTGTGTGTACAGATGCCAGTCGGCTTCCAGTTGGTTTCCACCAAAAAAAGTGATGTTACTCCCCAAAACAGGAGTCTTATCGATTTATTACGCGGTCGCTATGGCAACCACCCAATGCCCGTTGACAGATTTTCCCGCGAAGATGTCTCCCTTGGGAATGGTGGGGGGGGGGGGCTTCTCCCCGCGGATCCCGCCTGACAGGCTGCCAGCTTCCTGCATCATCATCATCATCATCATCAGCAGCAGCAGCATCAGGAGACACATGAGAGAGACAGACAGGAGGACAGACAGGGCCAGCTTTGTGTTTCTTGTTTCTGGAGGGCAAAGAAAAAGTAATCCTCAGTCCCCCTGCACACAATAAAGTGCATATTACTCCATATAAAGTACTCTTATTGAACTCATTAGTGCCATTGTTTGACTGTGTACAGTAACGGCACACAATGAGCTCTTTCTTTGCTCCTCTAATCCAAGCGGTGCTGATTGAGTTAAAAAACATAATCCACCAGAAAGACATACGTCCATCTTTTGTTCTGTATAAAGTCAGCGGATGTAGAAGGATACCAGCATAGAGACCCCCCCTTGTGTGTCAGGTTTATTATTATTTAAAAAAAACCTATGGAAGTGTTATGAAGGAGTCTGAAATCACATTAAGGCTTGAATTGTGAATTAAACCAGTTATGCACTCTGACCTCTTGTAGGCAAATACACAGCTGAAGTTACAATATTTGGTCTATTTTCTGTTCAAATTGGCATTAAAATGATCTTTAAATGTCTCAAAGTATAGATGATGGGCGTCACTAGCACCTCGGACATGAACTTGAACTTTTGTGTTTTGGGGGAGTAATAACAACAAACCTTTTGTATTCTGTTTTGATAAAGAACTCAGATGGGACAGACGGATACAGTACCTAGTGGCCGTAGATTATACTCCACCAGACTCCCTATTGTCTGTGCCCCGCGATCCTCGTGCCCCTGGTGAAAGGCTAATTGTGCACACTGTCTGTCGGCTGTGCCGCACCGTCGCAGCGAGGCCGACCCTTTCCGCTGGCCCCTCTCTAAGGCACCCATTTTGCAGGATTGTCAGCACTAACATTGTCTTCTGGCGCCTGATGTCACCCTTAGTAAAACCCAGTGAGAGAGAGCGGGTTCAGAGCTGAGGTTGATGCTGATCCCGAACTGTGTGTTATAATCTCTCTGCATGCCTGTCGGGGCCAGGTTCAAACCAGTGCGCTCTGTTCGCTTTAGAGCTCGTGGGCTACGATGCGTGGGCAAATGGTGTGTTCATTTATTGTAGTACAGGGTTCACAACAACATACTGTACCTCAACATCTGTCAAGCCTACAGCTAAGAGACATGTTTGTGTTTTTTATTAGTAATTAATACATTTTTGTTGATATGTTCATGTTGTAGAGTTTGGCGTCCACCTGGCAGAACTCACAGTTGATCCTCAAGGAGCGCTCGCCATCCGTCAGGTGAGCATCCAATAAAA